ATCTCCTAGCGGTATTTCCTGAGCAAGATGTATGACTCAAATTCCAAATGAATTGCACAGACTTCGCATGGCCACCTAACCTCCCATGGAGAAAAGTAATGCAACATTTTAATATACCTTCCACCTTACTAAGCATAGTTCTCACTTTCTTTGTTGTTATCAGGTGAATTGTTAGTAAGCATAGCATTATTTTCAGCTTGGAATATGTATTGCTCGATTGGCGCACTTATCCATCGAAGGAAAGACATACAAAGAGGGAACTTGTGCTTGCGCGAAGCTTGATCACCGTTCGAAAAGTTGAGCGTGTGATGGAAAAATTGTTTTAACCATTTGCGATTTCTGCACCGCTCTTCTATATGATAGTTCTAATCCCTCATAATTATTCCTACATTTTCGCAGTGAGGTTGATGTACAATGCGTCCACTTAAATCTTAGACCTTATCCATCTCAAATTGAAAAACGCGACAGCGGTCATAGCAGCAGTATCTCAGTGGCAGGCGCCACTGCTCGTAAATCTGTTTTTAAATTCTTAAAGCATGGAGCAAGAACTGGATGTAGCCATTGACTTATGCCTTAAATCTGGGATGAGAACCTTGCAGACTATCAAGATGTTACATTTGAAGCGTTCCTACACGATTACTAGGTCTGTTCTGTCAAACTAAGATGTTCATGTCAAAATTAAATCCACATTTCCGAAGGCGCCTGAGCAGTGTCGTTTGAACGTTAGTATACAGAGAATTTACGTCAAAAGAATCCATGAAACAACCCCTAACTTGCGAAATGGTGTACGAGGTGCTAGCACCGTAGCCTTACACGCTGAATGGCACTCGGGACGTATCTTGGGACAGTGCAGACCAGTAAAACCACGAAAGAACAACTACGGGTTTTCCATTGCCTGGTTGGCGCGTTGTTCCTCAAACGACATTTGGATCTCATAATGTAGGAGAAGATTTTGGTAGTAGGTTAGCAAAACAGCAGAACTGCGATCCATTCAAACCATGGATAAGAAGAGGCGAACCAGGCGATACAATTCCACCTCAGTCGGGCCTTGGTATTTATGAACAAGTGTCAAGTGAAAAAGCCTCGGTTCAACGACGAAAACGGGGAAATTACTTGCTATATTTTCTGTTAAAGGACTTGGAAAAAGAGCTCTCAGTTCGTTCGACACGCTTGGAGGTATCGGACTGGGAAAACGATTCACGTTCGTTAAGAGAGGACTTAGCGGTTTCGACACCCTTGGGGGTAAGTTAAATCTGTTCTTAGTAAGTAGACTCGCTATCGAAAATCTAGAATATTGCGAGGAGAAATCTCACAATATTCTAATTAATTAATAATTTAGTGATTAAAATACAGTCAATTAAAATCGTTATTGAAAACCAGCGTCATTTGTTTTGCTCAACTTCGGTAGAGCCTTCCAAAAGCGGAACTGTTCAACGAAACCTTCAATTCATATCGTCTTCTCTAAGTCAATGGCTTCGGCCTGTCTTTTGTAAAGAAGAATTGCCATGGTAGCGATCATTCTCAAAGTCACCCGCAAATGATTTATTTGGTTCACCAAAATTTTGGAGATTTGCGAACATAATTGATTTGATTTAGACTGCAGCCACCTAGCAAACTGAGAGTTCAGACAAAGATAAGATTATACTTTTTTTGTGACAAAAGTTTGCTTGAACTGAGTTCTTGGATTAGAATAGTATTAAAATGCAAAAAGGATCTTTCGTGCGCTTTCATTTTAGAAGGGAATCGCGACCCTTCCGGTTACCCAATGTTTGCACCCCTTTTTGATATCCACGATTTTAAATGCTACAAAGTTTATGGTCAGTCGTCAGTATGGCTAAAGTATGGCGCAAGCGATGCACTTTATAGATACCGCAGAAATATAAGCGTAAGCGTAAAAAGAACGTTAAACTACACAAAAATCTGCAACACAGATATCATATTTTTACAGAGATCTCTCTCACATTTGATAACGTTGTTTCACAACCTG